TACTTTCATTTCGTTCACTAATTGGAGTAAAAATGATATTAAAATAATAGGTTAACATAACGAAGCTTATATAATCAGTAGTAAAGTCATGAAGGAATGACCATTTATGGTCCTTCTACTGGTTAAGAAGGAGCTCTCGTTTTAAAAGGATCGTTGTTATAGAGAAATGACTAAATTTTTGGATGTTCGTATTATTTCTCTTAGCTACAACATTTCGGAGAGGCCAAAAAAATTCATAATAAAATATCTTTAAGATAATATTTAAGAAATCAATATTAACCGTGGTAATGAGTTCATTTTTTCCACATTTGTCAGCTCACATTTTCATCAAAAGTGAAGCATAATATATAGAGTTACCTCTCTTTTCATATGAAGAATCAGCCTTTGGTCATTATTTTTATGCCCCCGTGAACGAAGTATCGGGGTATATTGTTTTAGTCGTGTTCGTTCATCTGTCCGTCTGTCTAGATGTCTGTCTGTTTAGCTGTCTGTCTAGCTGTTTGTCTCCAAAAACTTTAACCTTGCCCATAACTTTTGATTTAGTGGCGCTATGACTTTCATATTTCACATGTGTATTCCTTGTGACAAGACCTTTCTTTGGGCAACACCAAATTTGACTTTTGACCTTGACCTTGGATTTTGACCCATTTTTACACAAAAATTCTTAACTTTTACTTTGGCCATATCTTTTAAACGGTAGATACCAGGACTTTTGTACTTCATATATATCTTTTTTATGGAAAAACCTTTCATTGAGTAACAACCTCTTTGACCTTGGAGATTTCCGTACTTATGAAAAAACTTTAAACTTAGCCATAACTATTGAACACTTTGAGACAAGGCCTTTTTTAGAAACCAACAACATTGACCCTTTGACCTTGATCCTGGAGTTTGTCCTACCTTTAAAAACGTTTACCTTGGTCATAACCTTTGAACAGGTGGTGCTACGGTTTTATATTTCACATTTGTATTTCATGTGAAAAAGCTTTATTTTAGGTACGAACATATTCGATCTGCATTTGAGAAAGCTTAACCCTCGCTATGTTGCCATACGGGGTCATCTGTGTTTCACCAACACATCTTGTTTTCCATCGTTTTTTAAGAAATTTTCCGAAAAATAAATGCCATTAACTTTTGTGGTATACAGTGTATGTATCCTTTATTCCAATAAAGTCGATACGTAAATATTTAAGTCACAATGACATTTTTATACTATTTTATTCCGATATTCTATAATGATACAATTCATATACTATATTTAAAAATGATTTACAGTATACAGTGCAACTGTACTTTTATCTGAACAGTGTACCAAACCTTCGACACCAATGCTTACACGATGGAAAATTATGTCTTGATATGTATTTTTTATAAATAAATAATAGAAAGGAAGATTAGAAAAAAATCTTGTGCTAAATGTAACTATTGTAAACTAATTAAGAGAGGAAGGACTGGCAGGTAATTAACTCATATGTTAATTTAAAAAAAAATATGTAATATATTAAAGTTTTGTATATTCTCCATTCAATCAACACTAATGTTATTCTAAATTATAAACTTTCTTGATTAGCTACAATCTAATGTCATTAAGGTGAAAAGCTTGCAAATAAGTCAAATGTGATTAATTTCCAAGCTACAACATAGTGGTTCTTGATGAGTAAGATTTCTCTATATTTCATTAAAAGCACATTGTCAAAGCATTGTAAAATCTAATTCTATGGTTTACTGTAAACCAACTTTTATTCGCGAAGACTTTATTTCGCGGTTTACCAGGGGTAAACTAGTTGGCGATGATTAATTTTCGCGATCAAGCCTTTTGGATCGGTTGTAAATAGACAGAGAGACTTTAAGAACCGGTTCGCGGCGAGAAATATTCGTGATGTCGAGGATATCGCGAACCTCGCAAAAATTTCTCGCACGCGAATAAAAGTTGGTTTACAGTACATACGAAAGCCCAGAAGGCTCATTCGAGATTCGAATTTCAAAATAAATTCGTCGAGCAAGATTACCAGACTAACCAATCAAAAGCGGGTTCAACATTTGATTACTCCCCTTAATTATGTTTTTACTATCAAGAAATCGTTGAATATATTTATAACAAATGGGTCATTTGATTAAATAACAATTCAAGATTGAATGTTATAAATATTAGAAGGAAATTTAAATACTTATTGTATTTTTGATCAGCAAGACATAATTCAATTTATATTATAGCGTCTTGCGTCTTAAATATTAAATCGATTAAATATATCAGGAGTATATATATATATATATATATATATATATATATATATATATATATATATATATATATATATATATATATATATATTTTTGTCTTGTCTACTATGTTTACAGGGTTGATGACATATTAATAAACTTATAAAGTAGTGACAAGTGTCTAAAGATTAACAATAACACCCCCCCCCTACCTGCCAATTTTTCCAAACACAATGAAAATGTTACTTTGTAAAACTTGAAAGGTAACGTATTATTGTTAAACAAAACTCCCGTTCGTTTTCCTAATAAAGAAATACATACAAATTAGTTTTCAATTACTTATCTTGGTCTAAGGTTTTGATTTCTTTGATTAATTAAACATTATACATCGAATACAGATTGGCAATATAAAATAAAATAAATACGGTATTTATGTTATCTGATATCAAATACATGTAGTAGATGAGATAGTAGAAGAGTCTAAATTATCCGGAGAACTATATCGTTATGGTTTTATATTTTAATCTCCTACCATTGCGTTATGGTCAAAGACTAAATTATACTAGTAAAACCTTGTAACGCTACAGTTCGATTCAGCAGTCAAGTCTCACCACACAAATGTACCCTTTATAAATTTAATGAAATATATACCATTGAATTACTGTGCAGTGTAGAGAGATTCTTAATTAAAATATTTCATATCTATGATTATTTTCTCCCTCATCAATGATCTAATGAAAAAAAATTAGTCGACCTACTTTATCCGAAAATCAACGATAAGACCATATAATATTCTATATTATACGTATTTACTGTTTTTATTAATTAGAAAAATAAGATTTTTTTTTTTCAAAATGTAATCCAAATTTTATTCTTATTTCATTTTGATATATAAAACATTTTTTCTTGCATTATCATTTTAGCAAACGACCTATTTGTTATAAATATATTCAGCGATTTCTTGATAGTAGAAACATAATAAAGGGGAGAAATCAAATGTTGAACTCGCTTTTAATTGGTTAGCTTGGATCTTGAATTTCAAATCTCGTATTTTGTAACTCGAATCTCGAATGAGCCTTCTGGGCTTTCGTATTTATATGCAAGAATACGATTTCCGAATACAGAAGACCTGCGAAATATTTGTTAAAAATTTTTTTAGGACTCATTATTCGTTCTTGAGAAATATTGCAAGTTCGGTTTTAAAGGATCACATTAAGTACAGGATGTAATGCACCTGGTTATGTATGAGGAACATGGTTGAGTTTTTCAGGTTTCAGTCTCGTTGGGAATTTAAGATTTTTAAATTTTTTTTTGGAATAATTTCTCTTCAATATTTCCCAAAACAGAAAAAACATTACGATTACGGTTGATCTATTTCTTCTACCGAAGATTCTTTTTCCCCCAAAAAAATTAACTTTTATAATAAAACGTTGTCTTTATTTCTAATTCAAAGTTCAATTTGAATGTTTTCTTCGCTTTCCTCTGCCATCTCTCTTGATGTCATGCTATGGATTTTTTATTACTTTATTTTTTAAGTTCAGGAATGAGATCGTTTGCTATAGATTAGTAACTATAGCATTTCAATTTTTATAAGTGATAATTTCATGCAACAGCTGAATTGTGTAAGTTCATTCAATGTTTTTATGGAACATCAATGGGATAAAATTTCAAATTTTCAATTTAACATACGCAGTTCATAAAAATCGTGAACATAATACCTAAATAAGTAAATGCAGTCTATCTGCACTTATATTTTAGAAAATCTTAACATTAAATGCTGATTAAACAGGAAGTCGGGCCACTTTACGTTACAAGGTTATTTTAGAGCTACTTGACATTTTGGAAGACGATTGTCGTGTTTCCATATTTTAACGACATCTTATTAAATAAATGTATTTTGTGATATATCAATATACTATATGAATTCTACTGGTTGGCCTTGAAAATCTAATTATCTGACATAACGTACGAAAGATCTGATTAATTCTGATGTTTTCGCCGGAGTGAGCAAAAAATTTGCACAGATTAATCTTACAAAAAATCACCAAAATAGGCAATGAAATAAAAATATGTGGATTAACGTAACATAAATAAATGTATGTACATGATCGCGTTTCGTATTTGCATTCAACTTGGATGATTAAACGTTTTATATACTGATATTTTATATGAAATCCAATTGAACTGTGAACTTTCGTGTTTTTGATATATCTCAATTAAATGCATCTTCCATTTCAGTGCAAATCATTTTATTTGCGTTCATAGACTTAATTCTTATCATGCAAACATGCATGCAATTATGCTTTATTGGTATCTTCAAAAGAAAAAAGAACTTAGCTAAGATATGTTCTTATTCACATTGCTTCTCAAATTATGAAGTTCATGAAAAGGAACAACAAATCAATTACATTTAAATAAAAATTTTGAATATATTTCTTTCATTAATTTTATTCTTTTTTATCCTATTAATTCTTGACATCATGAAAAAAAGAAAGAATTTTGTTTGCTCTTCATACGTCGTTATTTTATCCATGAAAAGATCGAAAAATAGCAGGTGTTCAAATTAATTCTCAGAAAAAAATCAAACTATCTGAATTGATTTTTCTATTTTGCTTTAAAAAAATTTGAATAAAATATTACAACAAAAAATTATATTTTTTCAGAGAACAATTCGAAAACGATACTTCATATATTTTTTCAGTCTAGAGAAAGAAAAAAAGAGATTTAAGTACACTATATATAGACTTTTCATCGCCTCTCATTGGTTTGCATCTTAAGAGCACTTACATAAAGAGATTGTTATCAAGTCTAGTATGTTCCCCCAGCGTAGTTCTGATGTGAGCGGGCATTAGGAAGAATGCAAACCTTATCGATCCTCGTCGTGGTCTCCCTGGCCTATTTGGCGGCTGGACGCCCATTGGGTGAGTAAATTTTTATATTTATTAAGTTTAAAAAGGTATTTATAAAGTTAATCTTTGGTCAAAAAAGTGAATTTCTGGATAAAAATTAAATTTTTCTGATCATATTATTTAAACGTTTGTTGTTGTTTTCAAACATTTCACTTTTTTAGACAAAATTTATTCTACAACGCATTAAAAAAATGATTTTTTTTTCTCTTTTTAATGCATTTAAATATCAAAATTTAGTTGTAATTGGGTTCTATCGTACATGTCAAACAAAAATGTAAATGACTAATTCCACTTTCTTTATACTGATCATGCTTTATTTAATTTATCAGAAAGTAAGATATCGCACCTTGAAGATGAAGTCAAATTTCTGAAATCCAACCTCTCTGCTCTCTGGGAAATTGTTCACGAGCATGATAAGCTCTTTGGCATTGAGCGCCCACCAAAGCCATACAAAAGCGTTGTCAGGGAAACCAAGAAACATAAAGTTCACCTCCACTTCCATCTGGACATTCCTGGTTCTCATCCAGGTACTTTTCTTTTCTTGACCTGTTTCTGGCAAACAAAATAATTTTTATGAGTAGTTTGCAGCAATTCCAAGCATTTAAAGTTTATCAATTTTCATGTAAGCAATTTAAAATAGAGGAAAAAAAGTTTTTGTCTGAAAATTATATGAAAAACAATTATGGAAAATGTGTGGATTTTTCTTTGTAATTTGAATCACAACATAAGTGATAAAAATTAATTTTATAACATATTGCTGTATGTTAAGACACGTTTTAATCCAGAAAATACTCACAATATATTCACAATACCAAAATTTTAAAATTTAAATGCAGGTCATGAAGAAGATTGCCATAATGAACTGGAACCAGTCGCAAGTGTTACCAAGGAAACGAATGAACACAGAGTCAATATGGACTTCTTTATGAACATCCCAGACCATCCGGCCAGTGGTAAACGAATATTGTTTTTTTTTTTAATATATCTGCACGCCTGATTTTTATTTTTTACATTTTCTTTAAAATCATTTTACTTTTTTGTGCAAAAATATACTCAAATTTTGATTTGTGCCAGCAGATTAAATGAGAGTTCGCCTCATACAGAAATATATAGTAAAATTAACCAAAAATGTATATATACTTTTTTCGAAATTATATTCTATTACTTGTCAAGAATTTATCCTCTAACAAAATTACATTTAAAGTCAACTATTCATCATTGATTTTGCAGGATTCAGACACAGCGTAATTCCCTAATTAGAACTATGAGGAGATAGTTAATCAATAAAATTAATATTTTTTTTACATTGTAATGAACAGATCCGGTGAAGAGTGTTGAGAGAGAGACCGAGGAGCACCATGTTAACATGGACTTCTTCCTAGACATCCCGTATCATCCTCCTCCTCACCATTATAATGCCACCAGTTCCGACTCAGACCACGGTAAATAAAAAAATATTTCATTTTTCTCATTTCTGTAGAACACTTGAACTTTTTTAATTTAATTTCGTAATTGAATGATTCATAAAGTTCAGCATCAGCCCTTCATCTAAATGTGTGCAAGAAAATATATGATTCGTAGAAATAAGTAATAATTAGATAAGTTTTACTTTGATAAACACAGAGGACTGTCCAGTAAGACGCGTCGTCAAGGAAACCAAACACCACGTGGTCCACCTGGACTTCTTCATGGACGTCCCGGATCATCCAGCGGAGCATAAGGCGGCAACTACTCAGAAAGAGGGTAAATTAAGACCCAAAATGTTAGCCAAAAATAAAAAAAAAAGTTCAAAAATTGTAAAAATTTACTGTGGAATTATTGGGGTTTTAATTTTCGTTGTTTCGTGGTATGAAGAGTCCCATCAATTCATGTCCTCCACGAATTATAAGAATTTAAATTGGTATCAACTCTGTACTTCTGCGACAATGAAAAGAAATTAAAATTCCAAAATCTCGAAAATATTACACTCTAAAGACACATACTCATACGATATTTTGTTTGATATACTTATTTTTAAATTAGACGACAATTTTCTTTAAATGATAGAAATGCACTATGCCCAATGTCAGATGAGACCTAACCCTTATCAGCTTGCCAGTTTGCATCACCATGTTCGTGGAAGCATTGAAATCGCACAACGAGTATGTATATAAATGGTGCATCTATTTCTCAGAGTGTATTAATGATCAAAGAGGCTATGTACATGTTGATTTACGTACAAATTCATTCTTGAAAGATTTAATAATCTGACTGCTACATGTACGTAAAGATTTTATTTAATAAAGTAATGTGTTCAATATCCTTATAGAAAGACTTAAATTATGATGAGATAAAATCTTGAATGCAGCTCAGATGCTGAACTTTTAAACCACATGTATATATCAAATATATATAATTTTTTCAAAAAAAATATTTTATACAATAAAAATATCACCTGTTGGCTTTTCAGGGTGATGGAGATGTAACTATGTCGTTCCACCTTACTGGCTTCAATGTTAGCGACGACTTCGCGGACCATAACCACGGCCTCCAGATCCACGAGTATGGAGACCTGGAGCACGGCTGTGACACCATTGGAGAACTCTACCACGGAGAGCATGTCCAGGGACACGCGTAAGACATTTCTTTACTCCAAAGAATAAAGATGTATATCAATTGTATGCATATATATGACAGTCAATTTTGTTCTCTGCCAATAAAATCAGAACCGTGTCTGCCAAATACCATGGCAGAAAAAAGTCGTAGTTTTATTGAAAGTGTAATAAAAAAGCCATTCATCAATCAATCGATCAATCTTTCTACAGCAAATTTTCAAAGCATATGTAAATTAGTGTAAAAAATAATCATTATAATAATCAATCAATCAACCAATCAAACTTTCTGAAGCAAATCTTCAAAAAATATTGCACAGCTTCTTCAAGCATTTCAATATCTAAAAGACTCAAAAAATATTGTATTCCTTTTCACCGAAAAAGAATTACCGATAACCAGTTTGATAATTTTTTTTTCTTAAAAGCAATCCAGGTGATCTCGGTGACCTTCATGACGACGACCAAGGGACTGTTACTGCCAAGAGGTCATTTGATTGGCTCAATATTGATGAAGCAGATGGCATTCTGGGACGGTCCCTGGCTGTAAGTGTAGACCAAAAACTATTCCAAATTATTCTTTTTTCTTACAAAAAAAATTTTTAATCAAGTGTGTTTCATACCCCCTTAAGCCTTGCAGCTAGATTTTAATTGCTGAATATAGACAAAATTATTAATGAGGGCTGTGGATTTTATGTTTGATTTCCATAATGATAATGCTAATAGTGAAATTATTTATGTTCTACAGATTCTGCAGGGAGACCACCTAAGCCATACATCTATCATTGCCTGTTGCGTCATTGGTCGTGACTATGCTCACTGAAGCTTGCACTTCTAAGTGTTCATCAAAGTAATTTCCACGAGAAAAGCAACCATACTCCTGCAAAACTTTTCTGACTTTTAAAATAAAATACAATGAATTCATGACATCTTTGTTACTGTTGTAATTCGTTTTATATCAATTGTTGAAATGGGATACCAGGTACACAGCTTATAGTAAATTCAAAACTTTGAACCAAATTTATGCGAAAAATAGTAAATTAAGACAATATTGTGCAAATGGGATATCGAAGGTGTCTTTTTGGTCGTACATTGTATTTGCAGAAAGATGGGTCCATTCAGTTTTTTATGCATTGTGCATCATGTTCAGTTATATAAAAAAAATATAAACGGAGATTTGGGGGACATTTGATTGTAGTCAAATTACACTATTATGCAAATTTAAACTACAACAAATTCAAGTGAAAGTCATTTAAATTAAATTGATAATAAAGAAACCGCGGTTCATTATTTTTCATAAAAATGTTAGGAATATGTCGTTCAGAAAATATTTCCCTCAGAAAAGTTTGTTATATTAACCTCATAATATTTTGGTATTGGTGGTTATTAAAAATTTTCTTGCCTCCATTTTGCAAATATTGTTTTTTCATAACGAGGTGATTAAACAATTGAAAAATGAATTATAAGGTGTTCGAACATTATTGGATGAATTGTATATAGCGGTCTTTCAACATTCATTGAATATATTAGATAATTGCAAACAGAAACCAAAGTCACAAGTTCATTGGAACAATTCAGATCGGGAGCAAAGTAAACGAAAACCTCTACAAACATCAGAGGTGGGATCAAGAGCAATGACCGATCAATTTGTGTGACACAGGTCAGCAGAAATTTGATGGTTTGTATTTGCTATTAAGGTCATTGGTCATTGTATTGTCCATAGAATTTGCGTAAATATAATTTTATACTAGACTGTTGATACATGTGTATCTTTCATTTTGGAAATTGTTCTTATATGAAGACGGTCTTGCGCTTCGAATTAGGTGAGAGAAATAGATTTCATAATATACAGGTGATAATGATACAGTAAATCACACTTATAGCGAACACTTAAAATGAACAGCACTTATAACGAAATGAATTTCATTTCCCAAGACTTTTAAGAATATTTTCAATTAAACGGATTGAACAATAATTCCTATAATAAAGCAAAATCATACGTCTCTAGAATATCATTATAATCGAGTTTTACTGCATATAGCTACATAAATAAGGAAAGCTGTCGATAGAATTTAAAGATCTTTTTGAAAGATAGCAATTTATTCTTTTTATTTTCATGATTTTTTTCTATGATTATGAAATATAAAGCAATTAATTACTCTTATTTTTATCTATGATTTTGAAATACAAGACAAATCTGTCAGACCCTGTGGAGTTCTTTTTTTTTCTTTTTTTTTTTTTTTTTTTGGTTAAAAGGGATATATAAAATGAATATTTTCATTACATAAAACGTCGTTGGTGTATCTAATTGTCATATTGTAGTCAACAGTAAGAGATTTCTTGTAACGTGATTTTAAAATAAATCGATTATTCTTAATATAAAACAAAAAGTATACCCACTAATAAAGGGGCCTAACTGGTACCCATTGGATTTCCAACAGAATGATGGAAGTCTAATTTTAAAACACATACAGAGGTAGTTCAATAGAGAACTTAATTTTCTTTTTATTATCGTCGCCCACGTGGCGCAGTGGTTTGAGTGTGTGCTCTAGAGTCGCCAAGTAAGCAGTCCATCCTTACGTCGCGGGTTCGAATCTAACTTTGGGACGTGGAGACTGGTCTTTAGGATGAGACCGTATTTACCGAAGTCCCATGTCGCAGTAGGTGCTGGCACAAAAAAGTTCCCTCCTGGTCCTAAGTGCCGACTGTCGAGTATTGGACAAAAGCATCTCTCCAAGTGGTGGCGTCTCCATATGAGTAAAAAAAATTCTCGAGAGGGACGTTAAACAACATATTATCGACTTCGGAGTGTTTAAAATTGTGAATACAATCAGAAAGATTATTATCAAAATAAGTATTTATGTCATAAACGTTTGTTTACGATCTTTTTCATTCTAAAATATTTATTTGTTTTCCTTCTTATTTAATTTTGCATGATTTTTTTTTCAAAATACTGAAGTTTTGGCACTTTTTATCAACTTTATGTTAATATTTGTATCCATGCAACTGTTACCATTGTTACAAAATATTTGTTGAGAGTGCTGGGTGTTTGTTGTCATTTAAGACTACATTGATCTCTTTTAGAAGAAGACCTCCATATTAAGATATACAAAAATTATCAAATTTTAAAACTAAAATGTTTGAAAGAGGTAGAGCCACTTTGGGCCTTATTTGGCCCTGAGAATTTCTGAAAATTCAAAACTGCTCAGTTTAGGTTGCAAATGCAGTATTTATCACTTGGACTGTTGGTGACCACGTATCTATTAATTGTGACGTAATTTCACATCTAGTCAATGCAATAAGACGTCATAAAATGCGTCATTTTCCTCATATCCTGTAAGTTCCTTTGAAAATGACCTAAAGTTGAAGCGTTTTTTCAATATTTCATATAGAGCACAACCTCTGATCCAAAATATGCCAATACATAAAGAAAGACCTATTTCTGAAGATCAAAAAACATGTTTTATTTTTTGGATCGTGGGCTGTGCTCATATTTTAATTCTTTGCTGAAGGTAGTCAAAAACGCATATTTTCTGCAAATTTCAAGAACATTGCAATTTCTCAAAGCCTGTTTTCAAATATTTGGATTCTCAAAACGAAATTTTATTATAGAACATGAAAGCACCAAGTGTCTACTTTATTTTGATATATGAAAATGGGAAGAGGGTGATAGTTAATTAATTGATATAAGTACAGGGCCATTTTATGCATAAGATGGCTCTTGCTCTTTTTCTTTGCCTAAAGATTGTTGACGGCTTTTAAGATGTCATATCTAAAAAATGAAGTTATGTCTGATGGTTAATTTGTGGACTCCCAGCCTCGTTAAAGAGCTTAAATCAGAGATGTAAAAAAAAATAGGCGTTCGAGGCATTAATTTTTTATCTACTTTGTATGTAGAAATAAAATCAAAGTACGGGTGATCTCACAATGCACTAACTATATTTAAAAATAAAATAGGGGAGAGCATTCAAAATGTCAAGTAGCACTTATAGAACCTTGGGAAGTGTATATGGTTACTAGTTGTGTAATCAGCAGGTTTTTTTAATTTAAATTCTCAAACTAATATAAGATCTGGCAGAAGTGTTTTCGTATGAAAGTTCATTGACACACGGTTAGCCTTGACAACCCAGATTATATAATGAAATATATTGAGAAAACGAACAGTATTCAAACTCAAAAGTCCATAATACAATACAAAATAGTGCAGAGTAAATACAGAACTATAAAACATCAAAGGTGGGATCTGGTGCCATTATGGAGTGAATTAATCGATGAATCAAAAGATTGTCAAAACGCAGACAATTTCAAGTGACACAATTATTTAAGAAACAATTTTTAATTAAAAGATAAAAAAAAAGATTTCTGTCGTGGTTGAAATATCAAAATAAATCACATTTTTTCACAAATCACAAAAAAACATTTTTTACAGCAGATACTTGTTTAAAAAATCGAGAATACATGTAAATCGCAGTATATGAAGTCATTTTAGTATTGCTCAATTACACAGAATAAAAAAAAACACAATTACAAGTACAAAAAACATCAAATAGTTCATCTTTGTCGGGTTAAAGTATTAATATATTTGAAAATTTAAAAAAGGGAAAATTAAGCCCAAAATATTAGACATTATAATAAGTTTTTGGGGTTAGGGATATAGGATGTACATGTACTGAATATGTATACATTTCAAAAAGTTTAATATTGTAAATGATATTTCAATTTTAACATTATTGGATCAGGAAAAATGGGTATAGATACGAATGCTTCACAACAAAAATTTTTTTAAAAGCAGACAATATTCTAACTGATCTCAGCTCAACACTTTTACTGTTTATATTTGGATATTTATTTCTTAAAGAATGGAACATGTTTTACTTTTGCTTACAATACAATGCAAATACATTTTCTATGCTATTTTTTTGTTTTTTTGGGGTTTTTTCCACCTTTTTTACAATTTATTTTCTTTTTATTTATAACGATTATAACAACTGAAGATGACGAAAATATCTACAATAAAAATCAAACCCTTAAATTTCTTAAGAAAGTGGTAAGGGATTGGTTTTTTTTTTCAACTTTATAGGGAGAATTCAGTAGGAAAACACATAAATAAATCCATCTCAAAACATTTTTTTTGAATATACAAGATTATAAAAATTACAAGATTTTAAAAAAATATATATGATCATGTTTTCTTAGAATGAGTCACTGATGAATTCTTTTAGTTTAATAAAATTTTGATAGACCTCAAAATAAAACCTCCTGTCCAACTGTAACAATAAAGCTCTGATATTGTACAGAAACCTTTCACATTCGTGTATATTAAAAAGAGTTAAGAAGTTCGAATTGAAGTTCATTGTACTTTCTTTTCAAGGATATTTGAGTTAGTCTAATTGCATCTTTAAGGGGGAAAAGGCTAGACTACTCTCTTAAGGCGGTGCATACAGATCCTCTTAGAAATAGGTCAAAATGACACAAGTAAGAACAACAGCCTTAAAAATCTTGCAAACACAGCAATAGAGCGATACGTAAAGTAATTTCAAGGGTCCTTAATTTTGCTAACTAAGAAAAGAAACTGATTGGCTCATATGGATGAAAGATTTGTATATAAGAAAAAGAAGAACTGGCCAATCCAGTCCTTTGCCCTCAACAGAGAAGAAAGGTAGAACTGAAAAGATGAACGCTTTGATTCTGTTGGTTGCCTTTGCTGGTAAGTAAACTTTGTTTGATTTAATTTTAAATTGACACATCACCAAGTAAAGTAATACATGTACAGTCATTTTTCAATACGTTTCAATAATTTATATACGCATGCTTACATTTATACATGTAATATATGCAAGCTTACATTTAAAAAGTACATTTGTGTTTCATTTGATAGAATATTAAAAATTTTGTCATTATTTTTTTCATTTCTTTAAAAAATTGTTGATATTTACTTTTTTTATTCTTCTATAGATGTGCTTTTCTTTCTTTCTAATAATTTATAAAGTTTTACACTTTAGTCTTTTAATTTAAGGCAACATATGAACTAATTCTCAGGTCCATAGAAGTTTTCATTAATAAATTCCTAATTAAGTGAACTTTTTTCATCTGCATGTTCTATAAATAATTGACAATTTGTTAACAGAGAAACTCTTTTTTTTCTGAGAACTCGAATAATACATTTTAAGAATTTTTTCTGCTGTTTTAATGTACATTTCTTTTTTTTTTAAGAAAAAATTGTATATGTAATTTTCTAATTGTATGCAGGCTTTGTTGCGGCGTCCAGTAAGAATGAGGCAAATATTCACCTCTATCTTCACCTCTCTGATGACGGCAATCAAGCCGACGCAAACTATGCCAATAGTAAGATATTTTTATTTCACGTCACTTCTCTTACATGTACATCGGCAGAGAATGCTTACTCCTGTATGGCATCCGATTGAACCTTTGATGTTTTGGAGTCCCTGATTGTTTTGCTCTTATTTCTGTATTGTTTTGTGGATTGTTGAGCTTTAATACTGATCGTTATCTTTATAATCTTATCGGAAGATGAATAATTAATATTATTTTTTCGTTTTACAAAAATATCCGAAACCACTGAAAATATTTGTACTGTGTAAATTTCACATTTGTATAATTAAGCATTTTTGTCTCATTCGTAAAATACTGACATTGTTTTAAATGCAGAGCGTTTTGCTGTCTTAAAACTGTATTTCAAAAATTAATATAATTACATGTATTGAGATTTTTGATAGATCTCTTTTGATTTTAGTTTTAATTTAAAATCTGGCTTTCCATTGATGTCTCAATATTTAAGATAAACGAACCTTCATTTAACATTATTATTATCATTAAACAATTCATTTCATATATTAACTACATGTGTTTTAAAATAGTATTTATGCATTAAATAATAACCTTTAATTTTGTAACTTTTTTTCTTTTTTGTCTTGTACATTTTACTTGTTTTAAGACCGTAGAGTAAAACTCGTTTATAATGATTTGACGCTTACGACATCGTCATAAAACTTTGAGAATTCTCAACAAAATTCTCAACTCAAGTCCTGAGAACTACTCAGCTGAAAATTTGAAAATTAAACGTAGTTTAAGGAATTTTTATTTTTCTCAGCTTTTTTATGACGGCCTCTGAGTCTGAGAATTTTGGATTTGAGAAATTTCTCAGACTTGAGAGCATTCTCAGACTTAAGTATGTTTTATGACGGCGGACCAAGATGTTTTACATTCCCTGTGACTTTAAAATATATTGCAAACTTAATAAAAGAATAAACTAATAACACTTACAACGAAGGAAATTCATCTGTCCCTGGCACAATGTTATATGAGCACTTTTTTAAAATAGAGTTAGGAAATTCCATTCTACAGAATGTCTTGTATTAATTTCACAGCGATGCATTATGCCCAGTGTGAGATGGAACCTAACCCCAACCAACCAGCTAGTCTCCACCACCACGTGCACGGAAGCATCGAAATGTCACAGCTGGTAAATCTATAGAATTGATTTAAAAATTGTGCTTAAATATATCTTTATACAAAAAGCTTTCATAAATTTAGATATATTGTTAATATTTTTAATGGATAAGGTGTCTTATTAGAAAATATCAGGAAAATACAGAAATACAAGAAAAATACATTCTTATTTTATTGATATACCAGATCTTTTTTTCTTCATTAACAAATCTTAAAACTGCACATATTTACTGGTGTCTCATTGTAAACTTAAACATTTGCATAAAAAGTGTAATTTCATTTTTTTTACTTTAACTTTCATCAAATGATATTCATAAACTAAACTATGGCCTTACTTTTTAGTGTCAAATTGTTTCTCAAGCTTGCATCGTTTAATCATTAATTATAGTCTATTTTTAAAACAGGAAGTCTTATTTACCTCCTAAATTGGAGAGTCTCATAGTATCGCGGTATGGGAAAACATGGAGACTTGTGGTTAAAATGAACTTCCATTCTTACTTTTACATTTACGATGTAATTCTACATAAGAAATAAACAATTATACAAACAAAATACTTTCAAAAGATGAACTTTATTATAGGTTTTACCAGATTATAAATTCAGTGGTCTAAATATAATAAAACTGGAATAGGAATTAATCTGTAATATTGCTTTTAAAAAAAATTCCAACGAATGTTCCATACTTTTTAATCATCACAAAAATTCACATTCAGACGACAGACAAATAGTTTTCACAACTAAAAGGATATGAGCTATGTATCTACTTTTTGGAATATACCGCGATACAATGTTGAACCCGCGATATGATTAGAATCGAATTAAATGTAATAATATTCGATGATATTTTCTACCGATAATTTATTCAGAAATACATTAATTTTTACCTAGGGTGACGGTGAAATGACAATGAAATTCCACCTGACTGGCTTCAATGTTAGCGACGACTTCGCGGACCATAACCACGGCCTCCAGATCCACGAGTATGGAGACCTGGAGCACGGCTGTGACACCATTGGGGAACTCTACCATGGCGAACATGTCCAGGGACACGCGTATGTACCCGGATGTAGCTCATTTTGGCTACTTATAAATTTTAGGAATTGGCAGCTAAATAAACAATTATATTTTTGTGATTTTGTCCTAGAAGTTCAGAATCTAAGTCTTGTTTCAAAATGGTAAATTGGAATACGTGAAAGTAATCGTTACGAGCTACAAGTTTGTATCGACAGAATGCTATAAATAGCGAAATATTATCTTCTATTTAAACAGGAACTGTATTGAACATTTTAAAGAAACTTTGAATCAAAAATAAGAAAGAAATTAATAATCTTCAATTTAATACATTTCTTGAAATAATTCCTCATCATTTTTTTTCTCTCATAAAATTACAATTTACAGTTCTTATCAAAAACCATTGTGCAATGATTACAATTTATAAAACTTACAATAATTACAATTTACCAATACAATTATTACAATAATTACAGTTTACAATTATTACACTTCTGTTTTCAGTAACCCTGGTGATCTTGGAGATCTCCATGACGACGACAAAGGAAATGTAGAAGATACTAGAAAATTCGATTGGCTGACCATTGGACACGAAGACGGAATTCTGGGACGTTCATTAGCTGTAAGTATCCATTATGAGGTCCCAATAATATTATAATTTAATATTACAATATATATAATATCATAATATAATATTATAATATGTATAATATTATAATATCCTATATGGTTATTTAAATTTTCATCTCTGGGCACATAATGAACAGATCAATGAAACAAATACAGTTATCAATAGTCTACTACATTAATTAGATATAAATGAACTGTATCCAAAGAAATTAGAAAATGTTTGATATAAAAACCTTAAGAGCATTTCAAATCAACACAATGCATGAAAATAGTAGACTATAAACAGAAAATCTTTAAAAGGTAAAATTAGTGTATATCATATCTTTATAAATCACAATTTTTCCTGATTTCTTCTTCTTTCTTTTTGCCACGAAGTAAACTAAAAACATTTCACTTAAGAAATAGTCTAAATTTTCTAAGATTAAAACAAGAATTCAAGTGAGACAAAAACATTATTTATCGATTCTATCTAGGCAACGTTATATCAATGTACTTTCCCCAATTAAGTGCACAATGTATTTATCTTATAAAATATATGTTTGATAAAAACATGCATACTGCAATATTTCCAAAATGCAAAGTTTAAACATAATTTCTTTATGTTTTTTTTTTCAAACACCGAATTTGGTGTAAAATTATGGATCTGTGAATTCATTCTACATTATTTAATTACATGTACACTGTAACGTGTAACTAGTTGAACCATATTTCTAATAGAGATATCTTACATTACAGATTCTTCAGGGAGATCACACTAGCCACACTGCCATCATAGCCTGCTGCGTCATTGGTCGTTCACATGCCCATTAAGATCTTAAATAGATATTATGTGTGGTATATGAACTCTTGAATGTTTTACTTTCATTATCTGCTTTACAAATAAAAATGAAAAAACAAACTACTTTTGTTTTTCTACCTTCAGAATATAAGGGACCGGGACAAATTTATGATTCTCATTTTTCTTAAGTACGTGTTCTATGGCATTCGTATCTGACTCATGCCTTTAGACTTATAAACTTTTCTGCCCCATGGTAGTTTCTAAATGTTAGTGAGATAATTGCAATAAAATCAAGGAATCATTCCTGGTTATTCAGGAGGTAGGATTAGGGACCAAGGAGAAGTATAAATCACCTGTAATGCTTTTATAAAAACATTCTCTATAATATTACAGCATATATATATTTTATAATATAAGATTTTAAAAGATATTCAAATTCAAAAATTTTTGGCGGGTTTGATTGACACATCCTTGCACTTTCACAAATTAATTTTCTTCTTAATCCTTAGAAAAGTGGCAATCTCGTTTTGTATAAATGAAAAATATTAATACTATAATCCAAAATAAAAAATATTAATACTATAATCCAGAAAACTTAGAGTAGACATGTTCAAACACACAATATATAATATTGTCAGTCCGTGCTGTTGTGGTAAGCAGACTGTGACGATTGAACGCGATTTGTAAACATAGACAATAACAGAACTCGTGCCCTGTTTACAAAAACTGTTTACATAACACGAGTGTGCTCGATTTGCTAAACTCTGTACGCAACTCTTAATTCGGAATGACGATACTTGTGAATGAGTTTTGCCCTCTAATATTCCTACTCTGAATAAAATTATTTTTCTGGATAAAAGTTTTAAAATTTCTCATTAATACACAACAAGATTGCCCCTTTTCCTAAGGATTAGGAATAAGGTTAAAATTTGGTGAAAGTGCAAGGACGTGTCAATCAAACCCGCCAAAATATTTGAAGTTTTAATAACTTTGAAATGAAATAAGATTTTTAATTAATTTTTGTGTGAAATGCTATTAAAATATATAAGTCGTAATATTATAGAGAAAATATTGACTTCAAATCTGCGTCCAAGTACCTTTAAATTTATTCTAATAGTTCGCCGAAACATGGCTGACAATTGCCGACTCGGCGTTAAGGGGGGACCTATGTCGTTCTACGTCATAAAAGCGTTATTTGACGTCACAATAGCGACGTTTCTTTTATATCTATTGACTTTCGCTAAATTCTGTGATTTAGGTCTAACATTGTTTAAAAATATAAGTTTTGCATGGACACTTTGTGTATTTCTAGTAAACTATATAAATCAGATTATATTATGTTTTTACCATCAATTAATTTTTCCATAGTGCATGTCTACATGTAATTCCTATTTAGTACAAATATAAGTATAAACTTAAACTCAATTTCTTTTTTTTTTCTTCATTCTGAGTATAATCTCTTTATCGGAAAGATTTTATTAAGTAATGATCCAAATACATTTAATGATTGTAGTGTATTGTCAAAAAAAATCTCACTGTAAAAAGGTAAATTAATCAAGAAAATCATTTATTTAAATTCTCTTTACTTAAAACATGATCCTAAGTTTTCTTTTTAAAAATGATATTGATATGAATGTGCCGGTATGTATTTTAAAATTATTAATATGTAGAACCTGATTAATTAATGATTATGTTATAAATCAAGTATTTATAATATGTATTTTGATATTGAACTTATACACCACAGGTAATACGTGTAGGTACAGGTAATAAAACAGACTATACACAGGTGACCTCTCAGGTGTAAAAATCCCAAATTTGGCTAGATGGGAATAAATTATTTGGGCTACATGTATGTGGGAATAAACCTCATGAATATTTATTTTAGATATAAGAATAATAAATAAAGTTCTACTTAATAATTATTTTAAAATGCATTCTTAATATCAATTAAATTTTTTTTTAAAGAAAAAAAAATATTTAAATTTAAAAGCACAAGTTATAGCAATATTTATGAAAAGAGAATGGAGTAAGCCAAAATTCTGAAAAAAAAGTACAGGTTTCATTCGATGGTAGCAATATCCGGTGTCCGTAACACACAGTGGTGAATGGTCTTTGAATAATGGTAAATCATTGATCACACTATAAGTTGTATAATATATAGTTTTATTATTAAAAAACTATAAAATATATATAGTTCATATATGTTTTTCTTATGAGTTTATCGGTAAAAATTGTATTTTCCTAACTGAGAGCATCGTGGCAACGAGCCCGGCATACAATTTGTGCTTCGTAATTATTAACTTGCTTTTCTACATAAAAAGTCTTTTGTATCAATTATTCAGCCTATTCACAAAGGGGGGGAGAAGCTAATTTTTAAACGTGTATGTGGGTTTTGGTTTATGAATATGTACATGTATGTAAGGTAATGATATGTGAAAAAAAAATTACATACTCATAAGGTACATATATAATTATAAACCATGCAAGACCCAAGTACATGTGAAACCCCCATCCCCCCCCCTCCCCAAATAAAAAATAATAACCAATTTAATATCTGTTAATTGTGTATATTCGCTGCTTTTATCCTCATGAAAATGAAATAAGAACATATGGAGTACAATATCAATAATATTGTATGAGGTTTCACAGAAATGTCAATTTTTCAAGTTTTCACAAAAAGTGGATGGGGATGGTGACCTACGTCTACTTCATGGGGAATTTTGAACAAAGTATTTCTTCGCTCTGAAAAAAACTACAATTTACAACTACAATACATTTTGTGTTGTAAATGGTAATTACGAGGGGTTATCAAAAAGTTCGTGGACTGAGGCTATAAAATTAGTACTATGTAGTATGTGCTTTCAAAATTTATACTGAACATAAAGCAACAAAAAATAAAGAAATGTTGAAAATTTTAGCCTGATACGTTCATTATTTGCCAAATTATTATAAAATAAAAACGACATTGTATGTTCACCCGGCGCTGTCGTCGTTTATTTTCATGACGTCCGACAACGTCATCGTTTTTTTCAATGTCTGCCTTTTCTACCTCATACACTTTTTTATGAGATTCCCTGGAGCCGAGTAAGGACTAAAACCCGCCTTGTTTATATGACTTTACAATGTCATGAACAGCGGCTTTCAATGAATATAATATTTCAAATGGATTTATACATTGAGAGATCCTCGCTTGATTGTGCCAGCATATTTTGCTCTTGGGAGTTTAATATCTACACACAGATGATCAACGTCATTTTTTGACGTGATTGATATTTTTCACACCTTGTCTAGAAATCGACATTAACTGTGCATCCTTTTCACTCTGAATCTATTTTGACATTAAAGACAAGTACTCTGGATGCATATTATTTCTCTGTAGCCAATTTAAACATTTTTTAGGTCTATACAAGTTTTTTCAGGGGGCAAAACTTTATAGAATGTTGGAAAAGAAACCCCTCCCCCTTTTGACGTCATTTTCAAGGCCTCGTTTGTTTGGACATTCCATGTAAAATTTGCTATAAAATTTCATAGAAATTCCAGAATGAAGTGAAAATTTCATATTTAATGGAACAATTGTGTCCTAACACATACCTGAATTAACGGGATTTTTGGATGTAAAATAATTATATCAGAAGAGTTTTTCTCAGTTTCTCAGAGGTCGGAAAAACGTCGGGTTCGAGGTTGCGCCGCCTGGACATACCATTGCTTACAAAAACATTACTAATTTATTAAAAAATAAAATATATGATTGATGGTTTATTATTTAGATAGAAAAGATGATGCTAACCAGATATTTAAAAATTCATTGATGTACCTAAAGCGGTTTTAATTTTATGGCGCTAGTCCACGAACTTTTTGATAACCCCTCGTATATATAAATTCAATTCCCCGCATAGTTTGCAATGTACTTTTGACAATAAAGATACTCATGCTGATCCTCCTGCTATGTCCTGATAACCCCACTTTCCTTTTAAAAAAAGGTGAACACTTTTTAATCCTGCACCAGAAACATAATTATTTTTATTGCATTTTTTGAAACTGTAAGAATATGACTCGATGGGTGAAAAGTTTTATCAAATCATTAGGACCATTTCTAATTTTTTTTAAATGATTAAACATGTATATTTATAAAAGGTATCCTCCTAATACCTCGATTTAAATGAGAGCTAAATTATAATAATGCAATGATATTTTTTTTCTGACTAGACTTGTATATCTTTTTACTCGCAATTTTATAAGCTACATGTATGAGTTGAAGATTCATGACACTATATATGTTATATTTTCACGCGTATTTCCTATTATCTATTTTAGGATTAAGGTAGGACACAATAGATTGACTAAAATTTTCCTCAAATTCAATTTTTCTGAAACTTTTATATTTTGTTCTAGAATACAAAATTTCTCTTTCCAACTGATATGAAAGAAATTCAACCACACATTTTTTTGCCCACATAGTTTGAAATATGGCCTACCAGCGCGAAATCAGACATTTGACTTGAGAATGAGTCTTATTTTAAGATTATCAATTTGTCTATTGCAAATTTGTGTAATACTGTTTAGAAAGATAAGCTTTTTGTTTCTTATACTCAATAAGTTATATTGATACTGCTTAAAGTTGTCTTACGAGATAATGTATACTAAGTAATTCAACTTTTACAAAAAATAAACAGAATGATTTAAATGGATCTCAGAAAAATAAATGTGTCAAAATAAAGAAAATTGAACCAGTGGTTTAAAATATTTTGGCGATTAAAAAATTTCCATGGCAAAAAAATTAAACAATTCAGTAGATGACGTCACAATATTTGACATTTGACCTTTTTATATGACCTTGACCTTTACAGTACATAAATCATGTAAATAATATCAGCCTTCTACTATTTCTGGAACAAAAGTTACAATGCATTTGAAAACAGATTGCTATGTGCTTGTTTATTGCATTGAGATAGTGTAAGTACATTCTAAAATGTAAGCTCCAAAGTGACCAGTATATAGAATTCTCGGATTATTTCACAAACTATGACGAAAACATGCCACAACTTATTATTTTTCTCACAGGGATCATTCATTGTTGTCAATACCGGTATACTAATATTATTCTTTTTTTTCCAGTCCTTTTTTTTTAAATCGGTTAAATTAGAATCCACTGGTGTTTGTACTACCTTAAAGCTCATATTTATGCACACGGATCGATGGATCTGGGGCGTATATTGTTCTTGTCTTGCCTGTCTGTTTGTCTGTAAACATTGTCCTTTGCCATAACGTTTAAACTGTAAGCGATAGGGACTTCATATTTAGTGTGCATACTCAGCTAAGAAAGCTCTTTGAAATGAAGCCAAGGTCAATGACATTGTGACCTTGTCTATGACCTATATGCTAAAAATAGCTCTTTCGAATTTTGTTGCCACTGGGTGCATAGTGTTTCACAAACACATCTTGTTTTACCTATGTTATACGTATAAGATATCGTTGGACAGTTTTCGCTTTATATACCGCCAAAGGATTACAAAAACGCATCATCTGCCCCAAGTTACTAGTATGTTATATCGTATAACGTAGGTTAAAATAAGTTTCATTCCATATAAATGAATTTCAATGTAAACAATAAGACAATTTTTCCTCTAAAAATGGCTAGACGTTGTCCATAAAAAAAATATAAATACATGTTGAAAGTTTTTATGAATTTATTTTGTAAGTAAGTCAGTAAAAATTAAAGATATTGCACGTGTTTCCCCCGAGATGTCTACTCATGGTAAACGAATAAGATGACATCTTAATGGGCATGAGAGCGACCGATAACGCAGCAGGCAATGATGGCTGTGTGGCTAGTGTGATCTCCCTGAAGAATCTGTAAGTAGAAAAATGGTGCTATAATTTCAGTTTTGTTTTTTATTTAAAACAATCGCAATCTACAAAGCCGAAGTGTTTGAAGTTTGTATTATTATCTAAAAGGAAGATTTTAAAACTGTAAACTAATTTTAATGAAGTAACATGATATTCCAAAAACAAAAAAAAAACAGTTTAAAATACAACCTACTTTTAACAAATAAAAATTCATAATTTTATTTTTTGTTTAATTTACTTAGTATTATTTCCAATCTTCATCTAGAAGCTTGGAAGGCAGCTATTTAACACAATGATTATTGTTTTGTTAATTGAGATCATGCATGATTGATAAAAAAAAAAGGATATTTAAAAAAATTAATAAAATTTTGTCGAAGATTAAAATCAAGATTTCAAGAAATAATTTCCATTGAATTATGTTTTTTTTTCTGTTTAAATAACATACACAATTATTTTACAGTATAAAATAATTTTGAATTTCATTTTAACAATGGAAACTTACAGCCAGAGAACGTCCCAGGATTCCGTCTTCATGTCCAATTGTGAGCCAATCAAATTTCCTGGTATCAGTGACGTTTCCATGGTCGTCATCATGAAGATCACCAAGGTCACCAGGGTTACTGAAAAAAAATCAAAGGTTTAATTTTATATACAAAAGTTCAATTTCTAGATACTAAGGGAAAATATATTTTTTAAATGACCATTGCAGGAAAAATTGCTTCTAGATTCATTATTGCTGCTCTTTTGTTTACTTCATGAACAAAAATATTTGAAAATATAGTCAAAACAGCTTTTGATTTTTTTAAATTTACAAAAAGATCATTAATCTACATCCGGGTACTTACGCGTGTCCCTGGACATGCTCTCCGTGGTAGAGTTCTCCAATGGTGTCACAGCCGTGCTCCATGTCTCCATATTCGTGGATCTGGAGGCCATGGTTATGGTCCGCGAAGTCGTCGCTAACATTGAAGCCAGTCAGGTGGAACACCATGGTGAGTTCTCCGTCACCCTTGAATGAGATTAACATATTAGAATTAGTTTGAAGATTATAGGATAGATAATTAAGATTATGCATGTAGTCGGATCTTTCCTTTGCAGAGGGCGATTGGAGGGCAATCTTGTATGATGATAGCGGATATATATGATAAAATGAATATGAGTGAAGAAGATATTAGAAAGTTCATACAGACAATCACATTCCCCATAACCTGGTCAGTAATCTTTGACACTCCTGATAGTTCGTAGGTTTAATAAGCAATAGCCTTATTTTGCTACACTGTACTCAGAAATTAAGGTACATTGATACTCTGATACAGGAAATTACTCTAAATGACATAAATATCTATTATTTCTTGATATAAATTTGTCAAGTTTAAGTGTCTTAAGCCACACAGTAATTGTTTGAAATTAACTTAGCAAATACATTTCATTTGTAAAGAGCTCAGTTCATTTTATGCATAAAATGTCCCTGTAGATATACCAATTGATTGATTAACACTTGATTTTCCATGTGAAGCATAAAGTAAAATAGATACTTAGTGCTTTTATTTCTTATCAAAAATTTTCTCCTAAACGTCCAGGTCTTGGAGAACTGGCTTTATGAAATACAATGTTCTTTCAGTGAAGAAAAATAATATCAGCGCACCCTCTGATTTAAAAAATAAAAAATGTCATTTAATTCCCAGAAACAGTTCTATCATTTAGTGGTTGCAAATTTTAGATCAGAGGTTGCGCTCTTTATTAAATATCGAAGTATAGCTTTTAAAATTGGCTGTTTTGTACTTTTTTCAGAATATGAGGAAATTGACACATTTTGTGACGTCATAATGCATTGACTAGCCAGAAAATTGCGTCACTTTTGATAGATACGCAATCACCAAAGTACTAAGTGATATTTAATGCATCGTTAACTAAAACTTAGCAGTTTCAGTTTTTCAGAGTTAAAGAAACATTTTATATGAATGAGCAGAGGGTTTATCTTTTATGATTAAAAAATTTTTTCAATCATCAAAAACCTTATTTGGTTCATTTACAGGATTGAAAAGGAAGCACTTAGATAATTATGCAAATTCAAAACAGTGTATTATGTTCATTGAAAGAAAAAAAATGTAGATATGTGTGTTTAAAATATTTTGAAAACCTACCAGCTGTGACATTTCGATGCTTCCGTGCACGTGGTGGTGGAGGCTAGCTGGTTGGTAAGGGTTGGGTTCCATCTCACACTGGGCATAGTGCATTGCTGTGAAATGGGAAAACCATTTAAAAATTGTATTAAAAAAAAAAAAAAAAAAAAAAAAAGCAAACATCATTTCTTCATAAAGATCTTAAATATTATCATTAAAAATCTTGGACATAATTCGAAATTATGCTAACTTTCATGAAAAAAAGGTATTTCTTCGACCTTATTTGATTATTCAATCATACATGTAATCAATATTGATAATAATAATGCAGGTATGACCGGTTGGCACGGGAAGCATACTCCTATATTGCACCTGGTCGAAGTTCTGGTGCTTTAGAGGTCTGTATCTGCTCCTGTTTTATATTGTTTAACGGACTTTTGAGCTTGAATACTGGGGGTTTTTTATCTCTATGTATTTAATTAAAATCCTTGTAGTAGTACGAGTACATGAAGACGAATTCAAATCTATTATGTACATGATGCATACATAAACATACGGTTAATATCATACATCGAATACACTCCTCAGTGTAATTTTAAGAGAAGAATTCATCTGGCTTGGGGGCCATAAAACTTAGACGAGCTCACTTTTGAGCTCAATTTCACTTTTTCCAAAGGAATTAATAGCGGAAAGAGAAACTGAGATCGTCTAAGTTTTATGGCCCCCAGGCCAGTACATGGTTTCTATATTAATGGAAGATGAAATCAAATAAAATGCTATGCCTTACTGGTAGCGTAGTTTGCGTCTACATCACTCTTTGCTTCATCGTCAGAGAGGTGAAGGTAAATGTTGATGTTGGCTTCGTTTTTAGAAGCAAAGGCAGCGCCTAAAATTAAGGTACATTGATACTCTGATAAGAGAGATAACTCTTAATGACACAAATGTCTATTATTTCTTTATAAATTTGTCAAGTTTAAGTGCCTTTTTTGTCAAATTTTGCCCCGCAAGCCATGCTATATTTGTTTGTATTTTAATCAGCACATACATTTCCTTTGGAAAATCATAAAAGTTAAAGAAAAATTTCATATGAGTGAGTAGAGGGTTTATGAAACTTAATTTATATACATGTATGCTTTAAATCTTTTTTCTTTCCTTTTCACCCCCATTATTCATTTTAAAACTGGATAACATGAAGTCACTTTAGACATATACATGGCATTAATTTTGACCGGGGATCTCAATATTAGTATCTAATTTTTATATCAAGAGAAAAATTTTTTTTTCGAAGATTTGTCCATTATAGTAGTCTGTTGCATTGTAAGCGTTAACATTATCGTATTCGTTATTATTTTTTTTAATGAGTATTTTTTTTAAATACATTGTACAATTTTCTGTTTTTCTAATTAATTTTCTTATCAAAAATATATTGTGTGCAATGAATAAAAAATAATCTTTCTCATTTGATTTTTTTTAATATAAAATTTATTCAAAAGATATGCAAATATGAGATTATTTTATACATGTACATATAATAGACAGACTGTGCCTGAGCAAAATTTTCGGAGGAAGATTTTTTAAATCCACAAGTACTCATGTTTTTGGAGAACAAATATGCATTTTTAAATATAGAATTTAATTTTAAAATATGTAAAAGTGAATAAGAGGTTATATTTATTTGTTGTTATAAGGAAGGGTAGAAAAGGTTTGAAGAAATTATTCTATTATAAAAGACTACTTGCAGAAAATCTAAAGAACAAAATGAAGTGAGGAAAGTTTTTGCAACTTTATCAAGTTCTTACCTTATGTTTTTTTTTCAATTATTTGTTTAATTATTTACATTATTTATTAATTATTTTATTTAAATTATCTATTTATTCTAAATATTGTACACATTTGTATGTTTTATCTTTATTTTTTTAATCTTTTGATTATATTTTCAAATTTCTCAATTATTTTTTTTTATTTATTTTTTTTTTCATTTATAGTAAAATCTTAGATGAAAAAGTTAAAATTATATATTTCTAAAAAGAAAAAAAAAATCAGGCTTAAAAAAATAATTAATTCGTATGCATATTATAGCAGAATAGTTCAAATTAAATAAATTCTGTTAAATAACCATTGATGAATTCATTTTAAAAAGTATAATATTTGATCAAGTAAAGCTTACCAACAAGAACAGCAAACACGATAAGACAGTTCATCTTTGTAGCTCCACGGAGACTGGTGCACTGGCTTCAGGCTATGGACAAAAATATCATCTCAGCGGCAAGCTTTTATATCCGTCACTCAAGTGGCTAAGCCAATTAAATTTCAGATATATGTGTAACCTACTTAAAAACTTTGAATTGATCTTGCATAAAAAATATATTTTTTGTCTCAGGCTTATTCAGCAAAATTTGTCTTTCGTGCACTTTTATGAGTCAATATGACCCATGTCCTTGAAAGTCCGTCTGGGACCCTTTCCACTTGAATTTCGTAACCCTGATGTCCTTAAAATAAAGAAACTACGCAGTATAAAAATTAGAAAAGCAATTTTGAGTTTTTTTTTAAAGATAATGATACACAGAGCATAAAATAAATATTCTGAAAATATTCTTTTTTTCGTGAATATTGCTATATTTAAATTCTCATAGCTCTATTTTTTTTCCTTTTCAGTATAATTATGCAAAAAATATAAAATGATTTTCAAAAGTAGTCTTCATATTCGTTAATATTCGTATTAAAATATTTCATAGATTTTTTTCCATGTCATAGAAGGATTATGTCTTAAGAAACATATGCGTGTAGTGTGTTCTCTAAATTAAAAATGAAAATGAATTTAAAAGTTACTGAATAAACATGAATATTCAATTTCTAATCAATTATTGGTCAAAGAAAACTAATTTACATACTTCGTATTCAAAAATTTTCATCGAAATATAATTGCAGAAAATCAAAAATATTTCAAAAGCATGATAAATTTTATGCAAAAGTAATGGAGGTTGAGAAGGAATATTTATTGAATGTACAAATGTAAATTCCAACGCATACGTGTACTTTAAAATATTCGTTTTAAAAAAGTCATGTATTTACTCAGTATATTATCTACATATAAAAAAAAATAATCATACAGAGGAAAAATTAATTAATTAAAAAAATGTTTATTTATTCTCATTGATCAATTGACGACAAAGTTCATCGGCGTAGTTGTTTATGAAGTACCTGCAATAATTAATATTTGTTTATAATTTATGTACCTTCATTTTTACAGGTACTTTTAGGAATGTCGAAAAGGTATGAGAACTAATATAAGAAACGTCTTTTTAATGATACTGTGAATAAAGAAAACAACGAAACAAAACGACTACCTGCAGCTGAACCCAGAGCCTTGAACAAAAAATAGTAAATCACCTATTTCCGAGGGGTCAAATTTTTTAGGTTTGAGGAAAATTTTTGGTTCATTGAGATTTGATTTCGTGGATGATAAAATGTTCAATAGTAATATATTTGAAAAGTTTCATTTCGTTGTGGATATTAATTCGTAGGTCTCTTCATACCTTGAAAAAATCGTAAATTAATTACAATCCACGAAAATTGGTAATTTCATTATATATGTACTTGTACTGCTCGGTATCTTATTAAAACAAAAATTTTCCAACAAATCAGATCCTCAGAGAGGGAGAGAAAGAATTATAATATTTAATCCCAACTTAGGAACAATTCATTTTAAAAAATTTAATCACTTATGCACATGCCTCGCATATCTATTTCGAAAATGAAAAAAAAATATTGCTGAAGGAAACACAAAAATTTCTTTCATTTTTGGTGCCTTTGATTGAACCCTGTAATTGTAGGTTTTACTATATTCAAAAGAATAATTTATTTCAATTTTGTCTATATATTAGAAAAGCGATGAAATTTAGATGTCTGTTTTATAATACTTCACGACTAAAAAAGAAAGTATTTATTTGCTCAATTTTGCTTAGATCTTATGTTTTAATGAAGAACATTCATATACAATAAAGGAAATTATGCTAACTTGACATATTCGTTCACTCTAATGACTACTTTACTTGAGGTATGTCTGTCTGACCTTGAAATAAGGACTAAGTGCACAAGTTACTCAAGGTCTTTGCCTATTCTGAAGTTCCTTCAGTACTACTTGACATAGTGCATCCCTCCTTCTTCTTCTGATGACATTTGAGTACTGTGTTCTTTTTGGATCAATTTAGCCTCTGTCTGCTTTTTTTGCATGGCTTAGTTATTCATATCATCCCTATTAGCACTCTAAAATGCTCTAAATACTAGCATGTAATATGAGTTGCATTTCCTTTTTCGGTTCTCAATCCGTCCATGAAACTTGATACATTCAAGTTATGAAGTACTATTCATTACTTTGTAAAAGTACTCTATCGACACTTAATTAAATTTTTGATGCACACATTTTTTTTGTAAAATTAAAATTTTTAATAATTTCACACAGACGTATTATAAAAGACCAAAAATCCATCGAATTTAAGAACATATAAAGATTAATTCTTCCAAAGAAAAACATTTCTATTTCGAAAAATAAGCTTAATCTGATAGGATATACTAGTACAATTCTCACATAAAAAATTAATGTACACATGTCCAGGATATTTGGCATTATTTACAAAGAACTAACCCGCCATCTTTATACGACCTATTTTAAACAAGAAATAAATGGGAGAAGACTCTAAGTTATTGGGACTTGTGCCCAATCTGTTTGATAAATTTTCAATTAAATTTGTTCAAAACAACAATAATCGTCGGATACCCATGGTTGATCCCATCTTTACTCATCACAAACGAGATCACCCGTGTGTTTCCGACGATGAACAACAATAAAATGCTTTCCTTTATTGTAACGCATATGAAATAATGTTGCAGTGGTTGCAAAAAATCAAATCACGGATGCTAAGACTCATTTCTTGCAGAGAGTTTGTTGCATTTTCCTTCCTCTGCTTTCACAAGAGGTATAAGAGAAGATAATGGTGATCACTGAGCTAACAAAATGCGAACCCCTGTTTCCCATTTGATTTAAATGACAAAATCTATGGTAAAACCAAAATAAGTGTCAGATCAAGAGGTAGCATATGAGGTGCACAATAACATAATAAAGAATCTGTGAACGTTTTATTAAATTTTATTGAGTGTTATTAGAGGAGTTGCGGATAAGAGATGAGTAACCTTCAGTATGTTATAGTCGTGTTTTACTCTGGGACACTCAAGAAATGTGTCCGATCCAAAAGTAAAAGATCACAATGGCGCTTTTGTAACAAAAGAAATTGTAAAAGTCTCATAAAAATTCAGTCATTGGTATACGAGGAGCTGCAGCTGCATGGATTCCCCCAATGCGTAATGCACGGACGCACATACAGCTAGACAGACGGACACCTCTATTACTATTCAAGCGGGGCCTATAATTATATTCAAATGTAATAAAATTCAAATTGTCATCTTAAAAAAGCTGATGAAATGTTAACTGTGAGGTTTTTTTTACTCAAATACTACCTATCTATTTGTTCAATATTCCGCCTGAATTTAAGATCTACACGTATGAAGAAAATTTTGCTAGCTTGACAAACTTGTTCACTCTAATGACTACTTTACTTGAGGCTCGCCTGTCTGACCTTGAAATCAGGTCTAAGTGCACAAGTTACTCAAGGTCATTCACTTATCCGAAGATCTTTCAGTGCTACTTGACATGTTGCATCCCTTGTTTTAATTTTTGGAGGTGACATTTAAGTGGTATGTTCTTTGGATCAATTAGGCTCGGTCTTCTTTTTTTTACTGCTTGATTTAGCACTCTAAATAACTCTAAATACGTAGTAGGAATTGCATTTCCGTTCTTCGGTTCTCAATAAAGTCCATGAAATTTGATATAATTCAAGTGATTAAGTACTATTTATTACTTATATAAGAACTTTACTGGTGCTTAATTAAATGATTTTTCGATGCGCTTATTGTTTTGCAAACTAACTATTCGTATAATATTACATACATGTTTTATATAAAGGATATAAAGGACTAAGAACGCGTCGAAAATCAATTTCAGAAGATATAAAGATGAATTCTAATGCAATTGTTTTGTAAAACACTCTTTGATTGGCTAATGCACTGATGTTTGAAGCAGTAAAACGAGCATTAACGAGCGTGAAAGCTTTTTCATTGTGACGTCATAATAGAGCGACGCAAAAATACAATGCTCCGTGACGTATTTCATGTAACAAAATTCAACAAAATAAGACGTAAACAACAAACAAAATGCATGGATTGCATTAGAATGGGAATAACTAAACTTTTAATTTGGTATTTGCGACCGTTAATGCTGATTTAACGATCGCAAATTCCGTTTTACCGGCTCCGCTTACGCGTATGCCGGTAAAACTCAGTTTGCGACCGTTAAATCAGCATTAACGGTCGCAAATACCAAATTAGAAGATAGTTATTCCCAAATTATTCTATAGAAGAAATATTTTATTTCTCTCGAAAAAAAAACTCATTCTGATTGGAAAATAATACTCTTGTAATTCTTTATATAAAATAAATGTTTGTCTATATACGTATTAAGCAAATGTTGCAAAAATTTCTAGCAAATATGGTATCTTTATTTAATTTAAAGTATATAACTTATGTTAAAAACTTATTTTAAACAAAAAAATTCTTTCCTTGGTTGCTAGCATAGGAGGTAACGTTGCAGTGGTTGCAAAAAACCAAATCAGAGATGCTAAGGCTCACTTCAGATTAGTTGTTGCATTTTCCTCCTTTGCTTACATACAATGTAAGAGATAAACTAGAGGTATGGTGATCACTGAACTCACAAAATGATATCCCTTGTATCCCACATATAGTACAAGAGGAATTGCGGATAAGAGATGGGTACCTTAAAGCATAACGAATAGACGTAAAGCTAAACAGACGGATATACCCATCACTTTACATCCTATTTCGAAATATCTGACGTTTTCCAGGCTTTTTTACGATTTTGATATTTTACATGCCATGAAAACGTACAAAATAAATGATTCATGCATTTTGATACATGCATGCATGTTAATTGCCAAGGATATGCAACATCTCCTTTTAATTTTCTTTCCTTTTTTCCTATTCCTGTCAAAAACTTTCAAATCATTTATTTCATTTTTTTATAACATTACCAGAAAAGATAATTAAAATAGTTATCATTTTATACATTTATTACAATTTGTTGATATTTATAAGTGAGAATGAGGAGGCACAAAATATAAAATGACAGTTAACATTTATACAGTTAGTAGCACTTTGTTCCTATAAATCTGACACATCAATCCATTCTTCCTTTCAGTTCTGTGGTAGTCACCTTGTCTTTCTCTCTGTCAAATAAATAACAGCCCAATTTTACCATAGTAACATACATGTAGAATTTACAATTATATTTACACAGAGCCCTGATGTTTTTAGATAATATTTGGATCATACAAATGTAAAATATGTCAGCACTGCACAAAACAGAAATGATGAACGATGTAAAATTTATTGAATGAAAAGAAAGTTAACTCTATAATAGTCTGGATGAAAAGAGCTGTACGCTCTTAACTTTTCTGCAATGTTTTCTATTATTAAAAGTTTAAAACAACAACATGCCTCATAATAATGAATTGAAAAATGGGAATCGATACTGCAGCTTTTGGTGAAAAACATAAAAATCACGGGAGTGGGGGGATGGGGGGGCGGCGGCAAGGGGGGTAAGTTCTAATTTCCATTTTCATTCTTTAAAATACAGTCTTGTATAAATTATCATTTAATTCGTGAAAAAATCAAGTATGTTAAATATTGCTTTATTGATAAGTACACTGTTGTAGGCCACAGTGATGGAAGAAGCACTGACAATAATTCTATACAGACCGTTGGCTTGTTTATAGGTTTTAAACATTATTTAAAATTCATGATTAATATAAAGTTGAGTTTTAAGTAAAACTGGAAGTATATGAAATACCTAGTACATGTAGAGATACATCAAATATTTCAACAACTTACATGATATGAACAATACCTCCCCAACCTGACACTGCGTCCCGGTCCACAGCATTCAGTAGAGCCTGGGATATAGACTCAAACAGTTCCTGTGGATCCTAGAAATAACATTTAACCCAGTCATATATACACATGTACAAATAACATTGCTTGTTGAATTTCAATTACTTTCAAAGAAAATCAATACCGGGGAAAACCCCCAAATTATGACATTTGATACCATATAAGTGGAAATTTTAGTGAGACACAAATTTAGCAATTTTTCCTTAAAGCCATATATGGCGTATGTACAATGAAAATTATTAGACTAAAATTATAACAACTTATCATTTGTATCATTACTTTATATAAAGATAGAACTTTTCTGTAAATTACAAAATCTAAGTCAATTGCGTTATAAAGATATCACACTGAAGAAAATACAAAAGATTAAATAACACATTACAGAGAAGATAAAATCGTATTATTAGATGAAACGAGGTGTTCTCCGCATTCAGAATTATATAGGGATGGGTGGTTCCGATATATAGATTTTTTCCCCACAATATCACGATAAATCATATTAAAACCAGTTTTTACAATGATTTTATATGAAAATTAAAAAATATGCACAAAATTTTACTTGAAATTTTTATGTATATAAAATCAATTATGTTTAGACTTGTTGAATTTCAATTACTTTCTGTAAAATTTGAAAATTGAACAAATAAATGAATAATTTCTGGACTTTATAATATGTACCTAAAGACCGGTAATTAGGTCTGACATTATGATATCCGATATACCGGTATAGATAAAATCGGAAATTATTAGCTTTAATTTATATGTATTAACTATACTTTACAAATTTTGTATTTTTCAAAAAATTTTTCATATATGGCTTTAAAAATTGGTATCTTATTTTTAGTGCGAGGTAATTCTAGCAATTTTCAAATGCTGTAAATGGCAAATAATTTTCAGCGTTATTCAATTTTGTCCATCTTGACACCCTCCCTCATAATGCCAAAATTAAATCCTAAATCGCTAAATATTCTGCTTAAACGGTAATTTACACTAAATAATTACTTTGGAAATTACTTCTTTCCATCATGTCCCTTCTGATATTATAAGATATATGTATATCAATAAACTCATTACTGATATTTTTGTGTATGTATGAACCGGAACTCATAAATTTTCCTGTACGTACCATGTTGGGTTCCCAGACAGATTCGCACATGCCATACATTTGTTCTGAACAAGTTCCACTGACAACAAAATCATCCGTAACCATAGGGCAGCCAATCAAATCCATGGAGGCAATGAAAGGTTCAAAGGTCTTAGGGTCAAGTCCAGCAATTACAGGCTCAACAAAATAAGGGCCAAATCTGTACAGAGAAAATTCATCATAAAAGTTATACAAAATAGGGCCAAATCTGTATAGAGAAAAATGCTTAAAAAAGCTCAACAAAATAGGGACCAAATCAACAAAATAGTCATATGGTTTCATATATTAAACAAAAACAAGACCATTTACCGATAAATTGTATCATGTACATATATAAAAGTCTGCATTTTCTAGCACAACTTCATATGTACATTCAAGTATAAGACAATCTAAAAGACGAGTAACTTTACCTCCTTTCGTATAGTAGATTTGACACCATGCTGAGAAATGTCTTAGGTTTAATTCTTCTATTTTCTCGTAATTCATATAAATTTAATCTGAATTCTAGTCGCTGATGCCTGCAAAATAAGATCACATGACAGAGATTAATCAGATTACACAATTAATAAAGTGTTTAGAATTGTGAAAGAAATCCAACATAAAGATTGGTATAATGATATGAGATTAAAAATCCATGGGTTTTTCCCAAGCATTTTGTTACTCTGTATATAAAAGTCTTTTTTTTTCTCTTCACAAATTTGATACATGTATATCTAGGGGTAAAGACTTCAAAAGTTGTTGGAACTTCAAAATTACTTTCAAAATTGACATATTTATGGTATACAATAAATGTTTTGAGGATACCAAAGAATACAAAAGGAAATTTTGATCCACAAGAATGTGACAAGATCCATATACGACTTTTTTAAAAGAATGCTGTATTTCCTCAAATAAGGCAACTGTATGTCTAAACTACTTTCTCATTCATCATTCTAAAAATCAGGAGACATACACAGTTTGAACATCTGTGGCCAGACCAGGTAAACCAATGTAAAGTCGAGGTCCCATCTCAAATATCTTCTGGAAGTTAGTACTGACAGTCTGAGCCTGTATTCCAAATCTTCGGTCTGACGCTATGGCTACGCAGTCTCTGCCCTTCATGGCAATGATAGCTGCTCCGTTATATTCCAGAATCGACTGAAAAGGACAGCAGAATATAATAAAGAAGTGTAAAAAATAAAAACAAAAGGTAAGGGATCTGATATGTCATTATGTTCAGCTGAGTTTCATTAGAATGATAACTCGTAAAAGTTAAATGTCAACCCCTGCGGCCAGATTGGCACTTAAATGCTGGAACACCCCCTCCCCCCCCCCCACACACACACACACTAAACATGGGGGTACAATACCCAATCTTCGTTATACATGTGAGTTGGGTCTGTCTGAGCACAGGCACCTGAATTTTTATCATTAATAGCGTGTGTAAGCAATATCGTAACTGCCCCTCTAATATATAAACCTAGAAAAGGTGTGCACATTCATTCCATAGAATTTTTTCCGCAGTAATTTTGACCCACAATGCATCGTTTGTATAAAAACGCTAAAGCCACGTTCTCGCGAGAATAACGAAAATCAAAAGAAAAAATAAACTTAATTACCTTGACTTAATGAATTTATCTGTTTATTGCAGAAAAATAATTATAAGCTAATTGAAATCAGTCCTGTTCAGGCTTCGGTTTGGTATAAAAGCAACATGCAAACGTCATGTGACGTCAGAGTCTTATACGCACCGAATGTCACATGCGGTTTGATGGGTCCGATCTCAATGAAAACTGGTTAAGTATCTGCGCTCGCCCTAGATATGCAAACTATCGTTAAAATGATATTGTCCTACGGACTCGGTTTAACGACAGAATTCGTTCCGTGTATTCTTAATGTAGCAAAAGAAACACGGGCGATAATTTCAATGCTTGACTACAAACAATCTAAATACCGAATGTAAATATATAAATTTTTAATACAACAAGTTAGAAAATTTATTGGATTTTCATCAAACAAAAATTGGAAAAAGGCTTAAGCAATCTCAAAAAGATCATATTTGGTTTATTTCCAGTGCAAATTCTTTTTGTTCTTCAAAATTTCGGAGCACATCCGCTCCGATTTGCTACATTGCAAGTATATGTGACGTATTCTAACTGCGGTGAGGGCTTGTACCGAGACATAGATTATTCTAACTACGCTCGCCCTAACGGTCGCACCGTTAACAGGTCCAGCACAATCGCTTGATTAAACTATATAGCTTTAAAAAGCTGTATAGCTTTATTAAGCTATTTAAAATAGCTTAACAAAGCTATTTATATGCAGTTGTTAACAAAAAACGTTTTTTAGTAAGAAATAAACAAAAAGTCGCAAGTATTTGACTATGCATATATGTACTTTGGACTATCAAAATTACAACCTAAATCATAGAAAGTTCTAACAATGCTGTGTTGAATACTTTTAAGCAAAAGATGAATTTCAATTGTTTGAGTAGCTGCATTATTATATTGAGTGCGATGAGGCATGGATAAGTATGATTGCTTCTCATTGTGTTGAACTGTTACCAATCAATTATCCTGTTGTCCATAACTGACCTCCTTTATTATTTCATTCAAGAAATAACTGTGTGGTCACTCACCAATAGTCCCCAAAATTTTAAAACTTTGAGTACAAAGTCTCTCAAGGAGACGCAATTTGGTGAGTGATTTTTACATGCATTGTATTCAGAAGAGTTCAAAGTTTAATATTCCCACTGCACCAAGGTGCGACTTTTTGCACAAAATAAAACATTTGAGAAAAAAGTGTGATAAAATAGCTTAATCAAGCTATTCCGAATAGCTTAATAAAGCTATATAGCTAAATCAAGCTATATAGCTTAATCAAGACCAGCTGATCAAGACATTGTACCGGACCTGGTTAACATATTACGATCAGTTGTAAAAAGGAATGGGTAAGTTTTTTTCTCATGCAGAATACATTTCATGTAAAAGAACATTTTATTCAGTATGTTTGTTTTTAATATATAGAACCCCCTAGATCTTCTGGATCATTTTCCAAAGTACCGACAGTGACAATGCTTGTACGCGGTTTCCACTGTTAAAATTTTACTGTTTATAGAAACGTTAAATTACATTCTCTGAGGGGGGAATTTTGTAAGTAAAATACTCAATCCATTAACATTTTAATTACTTTAAACGCTAAAAACGAAAAATGATATAAACAAAGCCTACCATGTTTTCTTGCAAGTCACCAGCAACTTCTAGGTTATTGTAATCTCGATCCCGATCTGTTAAAAATAAATTTCAAAAACGTAGTTTAACATAAATAAGCAATCCAGATGGTAAGAATCTGATAATATATTGACCAAGTAGGCTAATTGTTTTCTTTTTTGAGAAGAAATAGGTTTTAAATGACTTAATTTTCTGTTCAACATCGGGCTCGAAATTGGTTTTATGAAAAAGGCAGGGGTAAAAGTAGCAGAGGTATTGCCAGTCCGGACTCTCTCGGTTTTCTATTGATATTCTTCACAGTGCTGTATAGAGTCGTTTCATTCTTTCCATGCAAGTTTAATTGCAATTGAAAGAAACGCTTGTAGAGCTTTTAGTCATTGCTTGATCTCAGTCATTCAAAAAGTGCATCAAAGAAAGAGCTACTAATATTTAATCTGATATTCTCACAGAACATGCTATCCATGACCCCCTTCCATGAAAGAAAGAGTAATATGCTAAAGATTTTTTTTGTTATTAAATTATGGGTAAAGGCACTTGAGATACGTGTAAAGGCTAACGGGGAATGCGCCGAAAATATTTACTGGAACTATTATCAAGGACCTATATGTTAGAATTAATACATGTATATATAGGTCCATGCTATTATTTTGTTTTCTTTTCTGAAGAATGTTCATTTTCATTATATTTATCGAATAAACAATGATAAACGGTGGAGACATTTCATCAACGAGAAACTTAGACCAGAGATCGAGTCTGCAGTCGGCGCATAAACTGCAAACGATGGCATTGCTCTGCCGCCGTCTGCCTCCAATTAAGGGGGGACCTATGTCGTTCTACGTCAAAGCAGCGTTATGTGACGTCACAATAGCGACGTTTGTTTTTTCCCGCTGACTTTTGCAATTGTGATTATAGGCATAACATTGTTATTAATCAATAACGTACACAGTTTACAAAAAGATTTTTTTTTCATCATTTATAACAGTTTTATTTGATTAATGGAGTTTGTTAATATTAAAATTCTCTTCCTTTGGTTGATAATTCATAGCAATTTCAGTTGTGAAGAAATATACCTCCATGATATTCTGATATAAAAATGCAAAAATTATAAGATAAAATTCAGCAAAGACAGCGGCTTTAATGAGAGAAATATGTTTGATTTTATGATTACCATTAATTGTATTTTCTGGATAAAACTTAAAAAAAATAAGAAATGTACTTTTACCTATATTTTATTGATTTATAGTGCATGTAGATTTTATTGTATAAAGTCATTCCTAGGTTCTATTAGGTGTTGGTTGTTGACGGGGAAAGGGGGGGGGGGGCAGAATGATTAGAATGAAGAAGAAAAGAGTTTATCTGTTTAAATTATTTCTTATCAAAACAAAATACTCGTTTTTTGCAAAGAAGATTTATATTCAGATGTTTGTCAGTGCTAACTTACTTTTTTTTAGTACAGAAAGGTCAATATTTATGACAGAAGAGAACGAAAATAAAAGAAAACGTCATATTTCACGTTTATTATATCATAAAGGTATACTTTTTTCTTTGTTAAAATAAAGAGAGGGGTGACTTCTTTCAAAAAATATTAATTACAACATTTTCACACAAAGACTTTTTAAGATATTACCTGTTATGCATGTCGGAATTGTAGAAAATACGACAAGAAAAACGGGGTATACTTACATTGTGCTCCTGTATAATTTTTCATGTGAGATGAATTACAATGAATTTGCCTTCACTTTAAAGATACAAGTCATATAAATTAAATACATGTTGATTTCGATTGTGATTTGACATTTTTGGTTCTTTTTAGCGCACATTTGGAGTAAAACAATAATGTCTGAAGATAATCTATTTTTAGCATTTCACACTGTTTTTGCGCGTGCTCCTGTGTAAAAATAAGCACATAAAGGTATTGTTTTTAATACCTAAAAATTAAAAGCAAGTGATCAGGAAACAAATGTCAAAGTTTTGAAAATTTCACACAAAGACTTTTTGGACATAGGTCCCCCCTTAAGTCAGGTTTTGAACAAGATATATAAGATAAACATTTTTTTTTCATTTTAGTGCAAGATAGTTATTTTATGTGATCGACGAATTAACGTTAAACTTATAAAACAAAAGCTTTTTTTTTGGGGGGGGGGGGGATAAAGAAAGGAAATACATTATCAAAACATGCGTTTCTCTTGGAAAATTCAACTGGAATATCTACAAACCCCCTCCCCTTCCATTTAAAAAAAATCTACTTTCAGATGATATGACATGGATTTTCTTAAAATCATACCTGAACTGACCTACAAGTACGTTGTCATAAAGGGGGAGGGTATTTACAGAAATACAGGGAAAGAGTCACCTCAATTTATACACTTTCAAATGGGACTTTAAATGTAAAAAAAAATGTAGAATACTCTTTTCATTTTATTAGTCTTATACATGTATGTTGAATTTTACAGTTAAAAACCGCGTACAGCACAGGGTGAAAAGCCAAATTTCCCAAATTTGGGGACATACTGGAATCATATTGTGACATCAGTGAAAGAAGTTTCCCATCTGTAGATGAAGTACAAGTTTTTTCATCCCTGTATTTTCAAAACATGAGGAAGAAAAGGCAAAGGAGATCATCATCTATAACTGGGGAAAATGTCTTATAAATATTGAAAGTCAGCTATGAATGGTTTCCGTACGTTTCCTTTTTAAGGAAACCACTACATAATATGGTTACCGCTTAGATTCCCGACATGGATACAATGAATCCGTCGCCAAGGTGGGAATCTTTGGAAACATGCACCAAAGGTTTCCGTATATATTAAAATATATCCTCGTCAAGGAAACAATATACCCATTTGTTTTGAATTCCACCACGTTGCAGATGGGGACTGAAACTCACCACGTTTAAATTCCCGGATGGGGAAACTTTGAAATATAATTATCAATAGATATTTTCCACCCAGTTTTCGTTTAAGGAAAATTGTACGTTAATTGAAATCCAGTCAAACCGTTCCCCATGAAAACCGCCCCGGTCAAAGCGTTCCCTGATTTTGGTCAAAGCGTTCCATGATTTTGGTCAAAATGTCCCCAGATTTTGGTCAAAGCGCCCCCTGACATATTTTATAGAAATATGATACTACAAAACCGCCCCCTGATTTTGGTCAAACCGTCCCCTGATTTTGGTCAAAGCGCCCCCTGACATATTTTGATAGGAAAACGTAGTTTCTAAAGCGCCCCCTGATTTTGGTCAAAGCGCCCCCTGATTTTGGTCAAAGCCCCCTGACATATTTTGATAGGAAAACGTAGTTTCTAAAGCGCCCCCTGATTTTGGTCAAAGCGCCCCCTGATTTTGGTCAAAGCGCCCCCTGATTTTGGTCAATGCGTCCCCTGATTTTGGTCAAAGCGCCCCCTGACATATTTTGATAGGAAAACGTATTTTCTAAACCGCCCCCTGGTTTTGGTCAATGCGCCCCCTGATTTTGGTCAAAGCCCCCTGACATATTTTGATAGGAAAACGTAGTTTCTAAAGCGCCCCCTAATTTTGGTCAATGCGCCCCCTGAATTTGGTCAAAGCGCCCCCTGACATATTTTGATAGGAAAACGTAGTTTATAAAGCGCCCCCTGATTTTGGTCAGATCGCTCCCGATACATTTTTTTTTTTAGAAAAACAAAGTTTTCAAATTGCCCCCAAATTTTGGTCAAAGCACCCCCTGATTTTGGTCAAAGCGCCCACTGATATTTTTTTTTTTTTTTTTTAGAAAAACAAAGTTTCCAACTTGTCCGTTAATTTATAGTTTTAGAAATTATGGGATGATTTTATGGGAAACATTGAGAATGTTCGCCAGTATCATTTAATATAACCCCCCCCCCCCCCCCCCCCCCCCCCCCCCCCCCCCCCCGAAAAAGATGATACTGATACCGTTTCCCAGCTCTTGCCACGTGAAGGCCTTCTCAAAAAGAGCCATAATTTTGAAGAAAAAATTTAAACTCAAATAAATATAACTGTTGAACTCCCAAATCCATGTACAAAAACGGTTCTAACTAAAAGATTTTTGTTTAAATTCTTATATTTTGTTTGATTCTTATATTTTGTTTGATTCTTATTCTAATAAGGATAAATATATAATATTTTTTTTAAACTGAGAATGTTTGCCGGTATCATAAAATAGCGGATTTAAGGGGGCATGAGGGGCGCAAACTCTTAAAATTTCAAGAGTGAAGTAATGGGGGGGGGGGGTTAAGTCCCGATCTCTTTTTCTGCAATAACAGATTTTAAAAAATATTCTGATGCGTATTTACTGCCTTCTGGGGGCAGGTACACGACACCAATTATTGCATATCTTGAATTTTGAGATTAGTGAGGAAGAAATTTTATGTGCAGTTAAAAAATAAAAAAAAATAATAAGGCTGCAGGCTACGACCAGTTGTTAAACGAACATATTTCATCAAAAATAGCATGAATAGTTACATTGTACTTTTTTGCCTGTATATAAAAAATTGTACAACTTAATTTTTGATAGTGGAATAATATCAGACGAATGACTCACGGGTATTGTCAAACCGATTTTTAACAATAAAGGTGACCCAACAAATCCAGAAAATTATCGTCCAATAACACTTTTAAGTAGCATCGGTATAAAGCTTTTTACCTCCATTTTATATATACGCTTGGAAGTTATGTAGAAAGCTTAAATCATATATAAGCGAAAGTCAAACTGGCTTTCGGAAAGGTTATTCTACCTTGGACAAATTACTTAGTTTATATTTTCTTACAAACATACTTAGAAGTATTTTCTTTATAATAGTAGTGTGTATATATAAGTTGATATTTTCGGGTCGATTTTTTTCAATAATTTACGTCGAACCTCACTAACGTACGGGCACCTGTCTTCAGTGAAGTTCACGTGCCAGTTGCCACAGGTGGGGACACGTGTCGCGAGGTCAGGTGTATTTTTTGTATATTCTGTGTAATTTACCTAGGAGGAAATAATGCCTATGACCAAGTGTATATATATACATGCAGTATATGTGGTATACACAGTACTCTTTACTAATGGCCCCAAGGGTTTCTGAAAGTTCGAATTAAGAAAAAAAATCACACTCATATTTTCAAAAAC